TGTGTGTGTGTGTGTGTGTGTGAGAGAGAGAGAGAGAGAGAGAGAGAGAGAGAGAGATTGGATGAGATACGCATCGCCGAACAGGTAAGTCTCCAACCCCTGGGCTGGCCTCACGGTACTTGCATCGATAGATGAGCAAAATTGAATGAATCTTGCGCTAGGACATGGAAATATACCCCTACTACACGTGTGTGTGTGTGTGTGTGTGTGTGTGTGTGAGAGAGAGAGAGAGAGAGAGAGAGAGAGAGAGAGAGAGAGAGAGAGAGAGTTTTCCATCGACGCACCCGTGAACAGGTAAGTCTCCAACCCCTGGGCTGGCCTCACGCTACTTGCATCGACTTCCCTCCCCATCCCAACTTCCGTTCCTATCCCAATTTCTCTCGCTAACCCCACTTCCTCATCCCGACGTCCGTCCCCAGCTCTCCTTCGAACCCAACTTCCCCCCCTCCCCATCCCGACTTCCATCTCGGTCTCGACTTGCTCATCTCTCTTCCGATCCCAACTCCCCTCTTCCGATCCCAACTCCCCTCTTCCGATCCCGACTTCCCTCCTCCGATCCCGTTTTCCTCCCCATCCCGACTTTTCTCCCCCATCCTTCCTCGGATCCCCATTCCCCCCCCCATCCCGATATGTCAAGGCAGAGAGAGAGAGAGAGAGAGAGAGAGAGAGAGAGAGAGAGACCGTTGATTTAGGCAATCTGTGGCAGAGTTTGAACTGGTGATTTGTGTGTGTGTGTGTGTGTGAGAGAGAGAGAGAGAGAGAGAGAGAGAGAGAGAGAGAGAGAGAGAGAGAGAGAGAGAGAGAGAGAGGGAAAGGGAGAGTGATAAGAGAGGGAGGGGGGAACGGAGGAGTAGGAGGCAGAATAGAAGTGTGAAATAGTTGCGATGAAGAATAGGAAGAAGGGGAGCGGGTCTGACTCTGACGTTGGAGTGTCAGAGCAGGAAGGGAGAGGCAGGCAGGTAAGGGATGGAGTGAGGAGGAGGGGAAGGGCAGTCAGTGATGCTGAGCTCCCAATGGCCAATGGAGACGGCGCGAAGGGGGAGTTTGTGGGGCAAAGGACCACGCCGAGTGCAAATGGTGGAGCTGAATCTAGAAGAGGTAAGGGGTCGCTGAGGAGCAGAGGAGAAGGAGTGCCCGCGGGAGCAAGAAAGGTAGACAACCAGTCTGTGGATGATCTTAAGAGGGCCAAGTCCCAGTCTCGTCAGGGAACCGTGTCAGCCGCAGGGCAAACGGCAGGGAAGTGGCGAGATTACATGTTCATGTCCCTTTTGGCGGTTCAGTATGGTCTGCAACCTATTCTTTGTGAACGTTTCACAGAGTAAGAACGCTCCCTTCTCTTCCATAGAGTATGTTTCCCTCCTTTTTGTTTGCCCCCCTCTCTTCAGCCCCCGGTTTTTCGTTTGCCCCTCTTCCTGCCCTTTCCCCCCTGCCCCCGTGCTCCCGCCTCCCTTTTTCGTTGTTGCCCTTCTCTTCACTCCCCCGCGTTGTCGTTTGCCCCTCTTCACCGCCGCCCCCTCTTTTTCGTCTTTCGTCTGCGCCTCTGCGCGCACATCCATTGAACGGAAACGGCACACCCATGAACTGTCCTCTCCATCACGACTTCTCTCCTCCGATCCCGTCTTGCCTCCTCATCTCGACCTTTCTCCCCCATCTCTCCTCGGATCCCCACTTCCCCCCCCATCCCGACTTCCCTCTGTATCCCGATTTACGTGAGTTCGAATTTTCTTTTTTCGGTAAAAGAAGGGCCACGGCCTTGACATATCGGGATGGTCCGCCCCTTTCCGTTTCTCCTCGTGCTCCCCATCCCGACTTCCATCTCGGTCTCGACTTGCTCATCTCTCCTCCGATCCCAACTCCCCTCTTCCGATCCCGACTTCCCTCCTCCGATCCCGTTTTCCTCCCCATCCCGACCTTTCTCCCCCATCCTTCCTCNGGATGAGATACGCATCGCCGAACAGGTAAGTCTCCAACCCCTGGGCTGGCCTCACGGTACTTGCATCGATAGATGAGCAAAATTGAATGAATCTTGCGCTAGGACATGGAAATATACCCCTACTACACGTGTGTGTGTGTGTGTGTGTGTGTGTGTGTGAGAGAGAGAGAGAGAGAGAGAGAGAGAGAGAGAGAGAGAGAGAGAGAGAGTTTTCCATCGACGCACCCGTGAACAGGTAAGTCTCCAACCCCTGGGCTGGCCTCACGCTACTTGCATCGACTTCCCTCCCCATCCCAACTTCCGTTCCTATCCCAATTTCTCTCGCTAACCCCACTTCCTCATCCCGACGTCCGTCCCCAGCTCTCCTTCGAACCCAACTTCCCCCCCTCCCCATCCCGACTTCCATCTCGGTCTCGACTTGCTCATCTCTCCTCCGATCCCCACTCCCCTCTTCCGATCCCGACTTCCCTCCTCCGATCCCGTTTTCCTCCCCATCCCGACCTTTCTCCCGCATCCTTCCTCGGATCCCCAGGAGGGGCGGTAGAAGGAGCGGGAGGGGGAGCGGGAGGGGAAACGGGGAGAGGGTTAACGAACACGCGGGAGCCGGAGGAGGGGGAGGAGATATAGGTGGAGGAGGAGAAGCGGGAGGAGCACGAGGACGAGCGGGAGAAGGAGCGGCAGGAGGAACGGGGGAAAGAGCAGGGGATGCAGCTGGAGAAGGAGAAGCAGCAGGGGGGAGAGCGGGAGAAGGAGGAGGAGGAGGAGAGGGAGGAGCAGCGGGAGAGCGAGCGGGAGCGGGGCTATGGCGGTATCTTTGTCACGCTGTTTGGCGGAGGAGTGCCTTTTTCCACAATCAAACATGAATGCTCTTTTTTTCGATCGCGCGCGTGGTGGTGCGCCCACTTGTTTCAAGTAACTTTTCCTATTTTCAAGTATTTTTTGCCGTGTGGGATCAGCCCCTAAGTGTCTCTACCCGCATTGGCCGAAATCGAACGGCCGAAAAACGAGACAGCAGAAAGCAGAAAAAGACCTAAAGCGGATCTCGCCCGTTGCCCAGAAAGGAAAATGCCGATGCGCGAGCCCAAACTCTGTGTGCATCACTCCACTTCTCAACATTCGACACACACCTGGACTGTATGTGGACCACATTCATTTGGACTGATCGAGCTTTTTGAATGTATTGGGAGCACTGACAGCCCTAGATACATTCAGAATGTTGTGCAGCGGAGCGAGGCCCAGTGCTGAGAGAGGGAGTGCATAGTGGGCTTCGCGTGACGTAGCGTCCTGCGCGCCTCGAGGGGGCTCACACTCGGCGGAAAAGCGCAAGTAGGCGGCTGAGTCCCCATTCACAGTCGGCGGGAACGGAAATAGACGCGCGAACCAGCTGGGTGAGGTGACGTGCAATGTGTCGCACACACACACATACACACACACACACTCACACACACACACACACACATACACACACACACACCCCAGATCCGCAAGGGTCACATCGAGCATTGGCGTAGGAGCTCGAAGAGGATCCCAACGGAGGATAGAAAGTGGTGGAGAAAGACGGGAAGAGGGCGACAGACACAGGACGGGGAGGGAAGAGGATGGGGATAAGCGAAGCGTGGGGGGAAGATCGGGAAGGGGGATGAAGGACACAGAATAAAAGATGGAATCGAACAGATGGGAGCAACTGGAGAAGGAAGAAAGGGCGACAGAGCAAGCGGGTAAAGGAAAAAAGAAAGCGAGCGAGCGAGAGAGAGAGAGAGAGAGAGAGAGAGAGAGAGAGAGAGAGAGAGAGAGAGAGAGAGAGAGAGAGAGAGAGAGTCCATTAAACTTGGAAAGATACAGTGAAGAGTAGCATGGCCCCTGCGCAACTAAAAAATAAACATTAACGGTGTGTGGAAGTGCTCTCTCTCTCTCTCTCTCTGTGCCCGCGCGGCGTGGCGAAGTGGACCCTCCCTCCCTCCATCTCTCAGTGGTGTTTTGCGTGAAGAGGTGGAGAGTTCCATTTGCTCTCGGACCAAAAGCAAAATAGGTGGGTTTGCCCGCCGTGGCGGGGTTCACTCTCTCTCTCTCTCTCTCTCTCTCTCTCTTCCCCCCCTCCGTCTCCACCTGCATTCCTCCTTCCCTCTGTCCATTCGTTTCTTCGTTTAGGGCGGCAACTGCTTCTTTTGTGGGGTCGCTATGTTGCAAGTGGGATAGGATTTGCGTGCTGGCGCCATCCGAAGTAGGCGTGGATTATGCCGTGAATGCGGGGAGGCAGGGGTAGAACCGTAGGAGGAACACTAGGAGGAGGTCATGTGCCATCGAAATCGTGAGGGGTTGGTGTAGCTGGCGAAGGACGAAGGGGAAGGGTGAGGATACGGGATCAGGAGGATGAGAGGGTCGGGATCTGGTCGGTCAGGATGGGATGCGACGGCAGGAATCCGAAGGAGAGTCACCGGGATAGGGTGAAGCGTGCAAGGTAAGTTTGCTGGGGTTAAGGAGATTTGGGAGGGGGGGGAGGAGGGGGGGGTGGAAGACGTCAAGGAGGGTCCTAAAGTTAATGGGAGGAGGCTGTACGTCGAGGACCCAATTTGCGAAGAATGGGACGGGCAATGTGGATTGGGAGGGGTCCGATCAGGATTTGGGGGTTGCGAGGAGGAGGAGGGGGTCAGATTGCCAGCCAATCAGCATGAGGATGTAGGAACCTGTCTCTTATACACATCTAGATGTGTATAAGAGACAGCGTCAAGGAGGGTCCTAAAGTTAATGGGAGGAGGCTGTACGTCGAGGACCCAATTTGCGAAGAATGGGACGGGCAATGTGGATTGGGAGGGGTCCGATCAGGATTTGGGGGTTGCGAGGAGGAGGAGGGGGTCAGATTGCCAGCCAATCAGCATGAGGATGTAGGAACCCTATGAAGTGGAGGGGGAAAGAAGGCCAAAGGCAACAGGGTAAGGAATGCAGGTCGTGTAGGGGGATGTAGTCAAGCTCGGGAAGAAGAGATCGCAAGGCAGGATGAGGGGCTCAGGCGTGGAGGGACGTGAAAAGGCTGTAAGGAAAGGATAGGGCACGATGATAAGGAAAGGCCCGAATCAGGAGAGGGATAGGGTAAATGTGGATATGCATGTGATGGAGAGAGAGCAATCAAGAGAGAAAGAGTGATAGACAAGGGAAGAGAGGAAAGAACATGCCAGATCTGCGAGGGCCACATCGAGTATTAGAGCAGCAGGACTCCGAAGAGGATCCCAACGGAGGAGAGAAAGGCACGGAGAAAGATGGGGAGAGACAGGCGGCAGACAAAACAAGGAGAGAAGAGCATGGGGAACAGCGGATTGCTGGGGGGAAGATCGGGAGGGGGGATGGATGGCTCAGGGAAGAGAAGAGCAAGAGAGAGAGAGAGAGAGAGAGAGAGAGAGAGAGAGAGAGAGAGAGAGAGAGAGAGATGACTTTGATGATTTACTTTGAAGAACTGTTGTTATAATCTCTGGATCTATTGTACCTACCTTTTCTTTCTCATTTTCTTTTTCTCTTTCTTTTTTTTTTTTTTTTTTTGCCCCTATAGTCGCCACCAACCTATCTTTCCCCGAATAGGAATGTCCTATTTGCTTGAAAGCAGGCAAGTTGTCCGTTACACAGTTCAAAACGTTTTAGGGCCTTATGGCAACTTGACGTGGTATTATTTTGAGGGGGAAGATAGGGGCTTGGGGGGGGGCGGTTTTTTTTTTTAAAGGGGGAAAGAGAGGGGGGGGAGGTGTAATTTTTGGGGGAGGAAGAGAGGGGGGAGGGATTGAGCTGTGGGCACTGCCAGTTTGGATATCAGAAAAACTGACGAGCAGCAACAATTTCAAATTCAAATGCACTGATCGTTGTTCTTTTGTGTACCTGGTTTCCTTCTTTTGTGTTTGTTTGATTTTTTATTATTAGTATATTGTATAAATATATAATAATATAAATTGTTATAGAGAAAAAAATTTGCAGAAGACCGTTTCGATTGGCTGCAGTATGTCCAGTATGTCTAAGCGGAGCCAGGAGTCTGCCATGGGAGAAGATGAAATTGGGAGGAGGGTGTTCCCTAAGGTGAGAACAGGGAGAGAGATTGACGATATACATGCTGCACTCATAACTCATTCATTGCAGCACGTATATCGCTTGCTTTCCCCCCCACATCTGATACTCGAAGACTGACGCAATCGGGATACGTGATCTTGAAATCTCTTCTTGTAATCAGATCAGATGACTTGCTTTGCTTGATGACATGACGATTGCTCTGTTCTGTTCCTATTCAATTCATTCTTCCTGTTCTGTTCTTTTTCCTCACTGCACTTTGAGTTCATTACTATGCGACCCAGGAAAAAAAAAAACTGTGTGTGTGGGTGTGGGTGTGTGTGTGGGTGTGGGTGTGTGGGTGTGTGCCGCTGTGTGTGTGTGTGTGTGTGTGTGTGTGTGCAATGCATTTCAGAAAACGAGGTCCCCATCCAAATGTTAGGTGCCCGTTTTTGTTCTGGGCTTTGGAAGTCTGGTTTGTTAGTCGTTTGACTCTCTCTCTCTCTCTCTCCCCCCTCTCTCTTCTCTCTTGTTTCTCTCTTTGTCGCTCTCTCTGTCTCCCTCTCTCGTTTCTGGGCTTTTGTTCTCTGTCCTTGTCACTCTTTCTCTCTTTCTCTGTCGCTCTCCGTTTCCCTCTCTCTGTATGGCTTACGAAGTGCGGTCTGTTTGGTTGTTCGACTCTCTCTCTCTCTCTCTCTCTCTCTCTCTCTCTCTCTCTCTCTCTCTCTCTCTCGGTGTCCTCTCCATATGTCCAGCGTTGTTTCTGAGCCCTTGTCATTGATGAAAGGTAGATAAAGAGTAAATGTAGTTCTATTGCCATCTAACTAACGATTGATCATTTCATCCTCTTAATTGATCCAAGGTGGTTGTCATCGGTCAATGGTACCGTCTTCACCCGAACACAACACAACATCCTTGCGGCTCTCTATTTAATCACACATTTTGTTTGCTATATCCTTGGAAGGATTGCTTGCATACATTCAGGAGGAGGGTGTCTCCTGTACTTTGGGGAAGATGGTTGTTAGATGGCAGCGGAACGGATGAGGTGACAGGCGGGATGGATTGGGCACAGAACACATAGAACCGAAATAACGGGCGGCATGCAAGTTCTGATTGCACTGCTGAGACGGAAGACTAATGACACATTATTTTTGAAATCTGCATATTAAACTGATTCCTTATAACAACAAACAACAGCAAACAACAACAAGGAGCAACAGCAAACAATGACAAACAACAGCACATGGCGACAAACAACAACAAATGACGCCAAACAGCGATGTACATCAATGGCAGATAGCGACAAATGTGGAAGAGTAAAGACACATAATTATCGAAATTTCCATATTGAACTGGTGCCTGTAAACAACAACAAACGACAAGGGGCAACAACAACAAACAACAACAAACAACAACAAACAACAACAAACAACAAGGGGCAACAACAACAAACAACAGCAAACAACAAGGGGCAACAACAACAAACAACAACAAACAACAACAAACAACAGCAAACAACAAGGGGCAACAACAACAAACAACAACAAACAACAGCAAACAACAACAGACAACAGCAAACAACAGCAGGTGGCAACAAACAAGAACAAATGATGACAAACAGTGACAGACAACAAGTACAGATAGCGACAAATAATAAGGACAGATAGCGACAAATAAGAACGACGACAAATGCAACAAATGACAAACAACAGCCAACATTAACAAATAGTATCAGATCTCCTTATCAGTGCTCACTGCTCACCAGGAGCCTGCGCTCCCTCGTCAAAGCGAACAACATTGCCCAACAACTACTACGCACAACAACATAGCCAACAACGAGAGTAAAGAAAACCGCCAACTACAAAAAAGAGGATGAATGCGCATGTTATTTCAGAATTCAGCTGGTGGTTCATTCGCTTCTTGTGATTTCGCTGCCTCTCTCTGTCTAAAACCCATCCCTTCTTCTTCTTCTTCTTCTTCTTCTTCTTCTTCTTCTTCTTCTTCTTCTTCTTCTTTATAAATAAAACCCATTCCTCTCTGTGCTTTGCTGGCCTGTGGTGGTCAGCACTCAGGCAACGATGACTCTATGCAAATCTTCACCAGCGCAAGATTAGACGGAGCATCAAGTGTAGGTGTGGGTGGAGGTGGGGGAGGAGGGGGAGGTGGAGGAGGAGGTGGAGGAGGAGGAGGAGGAGGAGGGAGGCCAACAGGTGGAGATGGATATGAAAGCACCAGTAGGGCTGTGCAAGGATCTATGTCAGAATGGCCGACAGGATCGTCTCGATACAAGGTTGGTAGTGGTGCTGGTGGTGGCAGAGATGCGGGAGGGAGAGATAGGGCAGCAGGTGCTGATGGAAATTCGGCCAGTGGAGGCCGAGCTGGAGCTGGAGCTGGAACGACGGGTGGAAACAATGAGATCACATACGTTGAGCCTGTGCAAACGTGTGGAGCATACTGTTCACGAGAGGAGGCCTTAAAGAAAGAGGTATACTTTTTCCAAACCAATCGCTAACCTTTTACAAATACCGCTTTGACAGATAACCTGACCCAAAGCAGTTTGCTTCCTCAGATGATGGGGAGAGAAAAAGAAAGGAAGCTGCTGCTTTTTTTTTTTTTTTTTTTTTTTTTTTTAAACTACGCTGCATTCTTCTCTCAAATCTTTCATCACCTTCAAATTCTTGCAATTCACCTTCACTACCTACCTACCACTACTCCTAAGGCTTATACAGGGGACCCCTGCGAACATAGCTTTGTTCTCCCCCTCCAGCCATCAGAGGGGATGCATGTTGGCCCCTGCCCCAACCATGGTGGTCAAGGATGGGGTGGGGCCGCCGGTGGGGGGTCCGGCTAACACAATGACCGAGCATTTTGGCAGTAGCTGCACCTCCCTTTTCATCGTCCCCCACCCCCAACCGAATTCTGTAAAGGGGATTTTTTTTTTTTTTTTTTTTTTTTTTCAGGAAAGAGATTTCTCGATCTGGGCGGCCTCAATTTGCTGTTGGCCAATGTGTGCCTGGACCCAGTAGGCCGTATGAAACCCCTGCAGCAGTACAGACAGCCCTTGATTGTGCATCAGATCTGTGGCTGTGGTTGAATCCTGAGAAATCTCTGTGACTCTTCACCTACTTTCCCCGAGGTTTTTTTTTTTTTTTTTTTTTTTTGGACTGACTCCTGATTTTCCTGAAGCCAACTACCTCACGTGGGGTACTGGCAGCCTCATTTGACCCTAGACCGTGTAGTAGCGCGTACCATTTTGAACCTAGGTCTTTTCTAGGACCCCTTTTACTTAAGGCAAGAGATGCGGCTTTTGACCCCTGAATCTCGGCTTGGACCAAAAGTTACGACTCTGGACTATATCTGTGCGGATTTTGAACTGTGTTCATTGCATTTACATTAAAAAAAAAAAAAAAGATTGCGCGCAGAAAAAGAGGCGCACTTCTGATGTATTTTTCTTTTCCTGCCAGACATATCTTTCTTTCCTCTGCTGCTTCTGATCTTTCCGTCGTTTTTCCCTTTCTTTTTTTTGTTTTTTCTTTTTTCAACAATCAGTTTTTTTTTATATGAGCAAAAGGAGGCCGGGAATCCCTCCACATCTCAACCCGGAGTACTAAAGGCCAATACCCAGCTTGGGCTTTTGACTCGAAAGCGGGTCCAGTGTCCCATACTTCGGGATTTCCCCAAGCTCGCTTTTCCCTTTCGTTTTACCCTGATTGATTTACTGATACGGCAGTTCGTTTGTACATCCGTTTGTGAATCAGAGCAACATACAGAAAATCATCATGCCCCTTGTGCAAGGATGGACCCGATGCAGAGATTGAGGAATCGTCCGAATGGTCCAGCTGTTAACTGCTGCTGCTCTTAAAACTGGTCTGATGATGAGTACTCCAAGGGATCTGTCGGAGTCCATTTGTTATGAGTTCCCCCCTCATCTTAGGTTATCTTTCTACAATCTTCCAGCGATCTTTCAGCGATCTGTCAGCTCTTTTTCAGCGATCTTTCAGCGATCTTTCAGGGAAAACTATCTTCTAGTGATCTTCTAGCGATCTGTCAGCAGCGATCTTGCAGTGATCTTTCAGCGATCTTTCAGTCTCTATGCTATGATATGTCTCTTACAATCTACTGAGCCCACGTGGCAGCATGGTACACACACATCCAGCTGTTAGTGAATAGACTTGAGTTCGCACCCTGATTGGGGGAGGGGGGGGGAGGGGGGGGAGGTTAAGACTGGATATAATTGGGTCAGGGGCTCCCCCCTTGAAAAAAATCTGGGAAAGGCATTTTTCATCCTGTGCCTTAATCTATAGCCTGTCATAACTGGGTAGCTTGACTTGTTGTTCGATGTTCTGATTACACACCAACCATTGAGTCTGCAGACTCTGCATAAATGGGTAGGTGGACTTGTTGTTCGAAGTTCTTCAAGGACATCATTTTTCTAGGGTTGAATCACACAGACTTCTCTACGAAGGGTGGATTTTGCCAGGGTTTAGTTATGGTATACTTGCTTGCACTACCGTCTTCACCTGAATAGAACGCCCAGTCATTACAGCTGTATTTGGTGCGACTTTCAGTTCAGGTATGGGGATAATTACTGGGCGTTCTATTCGGGTCAAGCCAGTAGGACTTTCCTCAGTGTATTTGACTGCAACTGCAACCTGTTCAGTCAAAATGTCCAAGAGGAATGAGTATACTACTAGTGTACGCTTATAACGAGTACGTGCTGACTTCCAATCTGAGAGGAATCTGAACATTGGGACTTGTCGTCTGCAGGCAAAGTCCAAGGTTCAGAAATCCACGCTCTTTTGTTTTTGTTTTGCTTTTTTTCCCCTTTCTAAAAACAGAAGTTTATGGATACGGCTACACTCCATTGTCAGGAGCATCAATTCCGTTTCCACTGGCCAACCCAACCTCTTAATTTGTGGCTGAAACAGCGCGCACACACACACACACACACACACACACACACACACACACACACAC